AATAAACAATGTCAAGCTTCATGAAGAAAATGTGCAGGAAAATCCTAATGAACTTGGGGTGGGCAAAGAACCCTGACAAAACCAAGAAAACACTAATAATTAAAGGAAAATAAATTGTAAATTTCATAAAATTATTATTCAGTGAAAAATGGCATTAATAACCTGAATATGTAAGCTACAGACTGAAAGAAAATATTCATAATACATGTAAGTAATAGTAAGCTTTTATCTGAAACAGAGAATTTCTAAAATTTCTATAAAAAGACAACTCCCTTCCCCTATCTACAGTCCCACCAAATGGACAAAGTACATGAAAAGGTGCTTCACCAAATAAGATAAATAAATGGCCAATAAATACATGAAAAAGTTGTTAACACTATTAGTCATCAGGGAAGTAAAAAATAAAACTATAATGAAATATTACTAAACACTCACTAGAATGATTAAAATTTAGAAAACTGATAACACCAATTATTGGCAAGGATGTGAAGCAACTGAATTTTTATGCATTGCTACAGTGGGTAGACAATATGTCTAACAGTTTTTAATAAGTTAAATATATCCTTATCCAATGACCCAACAATTCCTTCTTTAGATATTTTCCCCAAATAAATAAAAACGTATTTGTGCAAAAATACATGAACATAAATGTTCATGCAACATTGTTGATATCCAAAAAATAGAAACACCTCTAAAGTATAAAAGCAGAATAGATAAATGAACTGATACATTTTACTCAGCAACAAATAGAACAATTACTGATATTTATGCCAACATGGATACATTTAAAAGCATTTTGCTGATCAAAAGAAGCCCAATCAAAGAAAAAAGAAACTACATACTGTAGGATTTCTTTTCATTTGTTTAACATGTTTATGATATTGTGTTACCTTGATGCTCATTTCTTTGAACAACCATTTCATTGCTTTGTACTCAATGAATGTACCATAGTTTGTTTATTCATTGGTCTTGCTATGATTATTTGTTTTTTCCTAGTATTAGTTTTTATTATTTATTTTACCATTACAAAAGTATTCTAATGAACTGCCTTTTATATGTATCCTGGTAGCAAAACACAGGAGTGTCTCTGGAAATATGTGTAGAAATAGAATTGCTGGGTGGTAGGGTATGCAGAAGTTTATTTCATTGTGCTATTTTGCCCCTAAATTTGGTTATTCCAACTGCCAGTTGTGTATAACTATCAGCAGTGTATAAACATCCCCATCTGAGCAACTGCTTTGTAAAAACTAAACATTATCATACTTTTCAGTTTTTATCAATTTGATAGGTATAAAATAGTATCTCAATGTGGCTTAAAATTACATATATATTTATGAAAGCTTTTACAATTGTTTTTCTATGAAATGTAATCCATGTTTTATTGTCCATTCTTCTTGTGCATTCTTTGCCTTTTTATTCTTATATTTTAGGAGCTCTTTATAGATTCTGGATAAATCTTCCTCTGGTTATGTGTCTGTCAAATATCTTTTCTGAATTTATGGCCTACTTTTTTACCCTGTCACATTTTTTCATAAACAGACATGATTCATTTTAAGTAGTCAGTTTTGTCAACAGTTTCTGTTATAAGTTAGCAACTTACATATTTTTTAAAAATTTTATTTCAATTGGAGGATAATTACTGTACAGTAGTGTGATGGTTTCTGCCATAAATCAACCTGAATCAGCCACAGGTATACATATATGCCCTCCCTCTTGAACCTCCCTCCCAACATATTATTTATGATATATTTTTCAGACATTCAACTACATTTCCTTCCGTGTTATTTAAAGTTTGGACTTTCTTGAACAACTTTATCCATCTGGAATTGTGTTTTGTATACAATGTGAGGTAGAGATTGTCAAGAACTTTTAACAGTCTAAGATGTTACTCTACCTGCAAGCTAACACGGTAGCCTACCAGAGTTTTATAGATGCTGGGGTAGAAGAAGACTCGGGCAATTCCTGAGTCAGGTGGAAAGTTCTTTACTACTCACATTAATAGCAGGAGCTACAGTGTCGGAATTCATGCCAGTTTCTCAAACCCAGTTCCCACAGGGTGACTCAAGGAAGGTCAGATGACTACCGCGCATACAGTGAGTTGTGTTACAGAAGAGGGTTACCCAAATCTCTTGTAGTAGGAGGTTAGCATGCTTGACCTTTAACCCAGAGGGGCACCTTGTCTATATTATATTGGATAATAAATAGTAATAAAACCTGCATTATACTCCAGAGAGTGGCATCTTTCCCTTCCAAGGCTGTTTTTTCTATAACTATCCTTGAGAACATAGTCCGGAATAAAGACAGCCAGCACCTCTGCCTATAAGACTTGCACAAATAGGAGAAGCAACTGTCTCTTAGCAAAGGGTGTATGTCCTTTCTCCCCTTGCACCAATATTCATGACCAATTGTCTCTGCATGGTTTAATGCACAGTTTAATCTTTCCCCAGGTATTGTTAATATAACCAGGTTTAAACGTTTACGTTAACATAACATTATCTGTTTGATTCCCTGTATGTGAGCATCTGTTTCTGGGCTCTCTGATCTATTAATCAGACTTCCCTGGTAGCTCAGCTGGTAAAGAATCCACCTGCAATGCAGGAGACCCTGGTTCGATTCCTGGGTTGGGAAGATCCCCTGGAGAAGGGTTATGCTGCCCATTCCATTATTCTTGGGCTTCCCTGGTTGGCTCAGCTAACAAAGAATCAGCCCACAATATAGGCAACCGCCACTCCATTCCTGGGTTGGGAAGATCCGCTGGAGAAGGGAACAACTACCCACTCCAGTGATCTGGCCTGGAGAATTCCATGGACTGTACAGTCAGTCCATGGGGTTGCAAAGAGACGAGACTGAGACTTTCACTTTCTTTCCCTGGTGGCTCAGATGCTAAAGAAGCTGCCTATAATGCAGGAGGCCCTGGTTCCATCTCTGGGTCAGCTAAATCCCCCAGAGAAGAGAATGGCTAACCACTCCTGTATTATTGCCTGGAGAATTCCATGGACAGAAGAGCCTGGTGGGCTACAGTCCATGGGGCCACAAAGAGTCAGACATGAATGAGCAACTATCTCAGCATCAATACCTTGTAGCTTTATATACTACAGCTTTATATTAAATCTTATTGTCTGGTAGAGCAATTTTCTCCCCAACCCCCCAAAATATCTGCCTTGTTCTTCAGATGTCTTATATATTCTACTCCTTCCATTTCTCTTTGTATTTAAAAAATCTACATACATTCTAATGTAAAAAATATATATGTGTATATATATTTGCAATTCTGACCTTCTGGAATTATTTTGCTTGTTCCAGAGTTTTGTTTGAAACTTCTTGTAGTAAATGTTATGCAGGTGTTTCCAGTGTGACTACCCATCACAGATCAGTTCCAAGCTTTGGCTTCTTGCCTGCTGCCCTTTAAAAGCTAAAGTTTTGATCTTAAGACATCAGCAGATGGTCTGAGCACAAGTGACAGGTTCAGCTCATTTACTTCTCTGCATGGATCCTTTCACTTTGTTTTCAGTCTCTCAGAATTTTTCTTACCATTTTTTTTTTGAGCAGCTCAGCTATGCATTTTAAAAGATATTTTGTCTCTTTCATCTAACCTTTTTAGCAATTTTGCACTGAAAGCTGTTTTCAGCCTATCTAGCCATTCATATTGCCTGAAACAGAAGTCTCTGTCAATAGTGGTTTTAAAATTGTTTAATCTCACAGAATTGTATCTTTTGCATAATAAATATTCAATAAAGTATGTTTAGTTGAACTGAATAAGATTTCAGTTGGATTTTTCTGATGCTGCCTCATCATTTCCAAATAACCTAGTACCTAATTTGGCATTTCCACCATTAGATTATTATCCTCTCCTTGAAACTTTACAAAGTTAAAAATATTTACAACATACAGAAAATAATATACTTGAAATCTTTTCTTACAACCATGACTAAACATGTGTTAATATAGTATCTTCTTTACTCTCTGGTTATATGGTTAGATAACAAAGCTATTTATATTATTTTATATACTTCAAAATTTTATACTACTAATGATATTGATACTTTTTTGAAAGCTGCTTTTTCCCCATTCAGCATCAGCATCATTTATCTATACTGATACCCTAAGCTCTGATTCAATTACTCCAAGTCCTGTCTGTAATTTTATTATAAATTAAATTTTATTTGAGTGTGTACTCAGTTGCTTTAGTCCTGTCTGACTCTTTGCGACTGCATGGACTATAGCCTACCAGGTTCTTCTGTCCATGGGATTATCTAGGTAAAAAAACTGAAGTGGGTTGTCTTTTCCTTCTCCAGGGGATCTTCCGGACCCAGGTACTGAACCAGAGTCTCCTGCCTCTTCTGCATTGCAGGCAGATTCTCTACTGCTGAACCACTGGGAAAGCCCTAAATTTTATTTAATATCCCTTAATTCTACAATAAATATTCTTATATATATCTTCTTGAGCATATATTTGATATTTTTAAGAATTAGATGCCTAGAATTGAAAAGTGCTATGTGATAAGATGTACTTAACTTTGACCCCATGGACTGTGGCCTGCCAGGCTCCTCTGTCCATGGGATTCTCCAGGCAAGACTACTGGAGCAAGTAGCCATTCATTTCTCCAGGGGAATCCTCCTGACCCAAGGATCTAACCTGGGTCTCCTGCATTGCAGGCAGATTCTTTACCAACTGAGCCACCAGAAAAGCCCAGAAATGAAAGTGCTCTGTGATAGGATGTAATTAACTTTAACATATTAGGTATATTCAATTTCTTATATCTAGTCTTTATGATTGTGATAACATCCATCATTATAGATGATAAGACCTTTTTTTTACCCTATTTTATTTAATATTTGAAATTTGTGAAAAGTACCTAGCACTGGTCTGAAAAGGATTATGCCAAATATATGTTGTGCATGACACCTTGTGTATAATTCAAATTATACTAAAGTTTATAGCTATTAAATAATGAATGATTAGGTGAGTTAGCAATTCATGCCCCCCTTTTTTTCTGTAGGTATTTATGAGCCTCCATTTATTGTACTACTGCAGTGAACCAACCTTGGATGTGAAAATTGCCTTTTGTCAGGTGTGTGTTCCTTACAGGTAAAACAAGGTACAGTATATTCCCTTGTATTTCCATTTTGCCATTCCATCTTGCACGTTTCACACTAAAGTGTAGAATTAAAAGTAGCCTAGGGAGTAGAGTTGGATGCCTAGATTTTTTCCCCCCAGTTCATTTATCTTTGAATAGGAATGAAGATAATTCCTTTTTTTTAAAGATAATTCTTTTTAATGATTGTAAATATTGTACTTAATCACTGTGGAAAGTGATTACTATATTTGACATCATTAATATCTTTTTCAAATCCTTAAAGTGCAGTTTAAATAATCCAAATAGCTGAAATAGATGATATTATTTTTCATCCAAGTACTAATGAGCCCCAAGTACAGTCTCTTCAGTACTCAAATATCACAGCATGTAGGTAGTGCTTAGTTTGGGCTTCCCAGGTGGCGCTAGTGGTAAAGAATCCACCTGCCAATGCAGATGAAGCAAGAGACAGGGTTTTGGTTCCTGAGTTGGGAAGATCCCCTAGAGAAGGGAATGGCAACCCATTCCAGTATTCTTGCCTGGAGAATCCCATGGAAAGAGGAGCCCCGGTGGGCTACAGTCCACGGGGCCGCAAAGAGTCAGACACAGCTGAGCACACACAGTCCTCAGCTTGTTTTTCAGTGCCCTGTTCTAGCCAGCAGCTGTGAAACAATAAGACCAGCAGCAATAATGACAAATAAAGGTATCTCTAACCTACTAGTGAGAAGGTAGTGTACATGGACAATAGAAGGGTCTGCACTCTTGTATTCATACAAATGATAGCCTTAAGAAAAAGTCTACCTGAGGCACTGGTACCCAGTCTGTTTAGGCCATTCTGACTTAAGTCTGTGGTCTTTGTATCATTAATAGAGCTCAGTTTTACCCTAGGAATTGTTATGTGGCTGGTAAATTTTATAGTATCTCTAATCATACTCCAAGCAGAGAGCACTTCCATTTTTTCTGTAATGATTTTTGCTGTATTTTCTCATTGAGATGGGTTGTATACACAGAATGACATATGTCCCTTGAAATGAGGTTTAAAAAACAACTCAAAATAATATTATTTTAATATAGTATTTTCTAATTCTAGAAGTAACATGCTTATTATAGAAGATATAGGAAAGTACAAAGGAAACAAAACATTGGTAAATCTACTCTCTACACTGAGAGTAGTTAGAATTTCTATGGAAAAATAAAATGTATTATGTTCTATGAATAGGATTTTCTGATCTATTTTATTTCCCTGGCCTCTAAATTGTTGTGGTGCCAAAAATTTCCAGGCTTTCAGATAATTTCTCTAATAAGAACTCTGGATCTGGAGTGAAATAGGTCAGAAAGAGAAAAAACAATACAGTGTATCTATCTATCTATCTATCTATCTATCTATCTATATGTGGAATTTAGAAAGACAGTAATGACGATCCTATATGCGAGGCAGCAAAAGAGACACAGATGTAAAGAACAGACTTTTGGACTCTGTGGGAGATGAGGGTGGGATGATTTGAGAGAATAGCATTGAAACATGTATATTATCATATGTAAAACATGACCAATGCAAGTTCCATGCATGAAGCTGAGCACTCAGCTGGTGGTCTAGGACAACCCAGGGGGATGGGGTTTGGAGGGAGGTGGGAGAGGGGTTCAGGATGGTTGGACACATGTGTACCCATGACTGATTCATGTTGATGTATGGCAAAAACCACCACAATATTGTAAAGTACTTATCCTCCTTTAATTAAAATTAAAAAAAAAAAAAAAAAGAACTCGATCTGAACAGCCTGGGTTAGAAATTCTGAATCTGCCACTTACTTAGCCATTTACTTGTGAGCTTGGGCAAGTTAGTTAACCTTACTGTACCTTGGTTAATTAGTAAAAAGGGAAAAGGTAGTAGGTTTATGAGAATCAAGTGAGCTGATACTTGCAGAGCACTGAGAATATGTTTTTGTTAAGTAGCTAACTAAATCACTAAGTTCATGTTCTCTCTTGTGGGGCTCTCATTTGAGTCCTAGTGTTTTAAATATTATCGATACTGTGAATACTCCCCAATTACACCTCTAGCAAAACCCTTCCCTGAAACCCAGCTCACATACCCAATTGCTTGTTCTACATCCCAGCTTAGATGTCTAATAGATGTAGCAAATGATACATATACCAAACCAAATCTTTGACCTTCCCTTCAAAATTGCTCTGCTCTAATTCAGTAAATGCTAAAACCCTCTTTCCAGTTGCTTATAACAAAATCTTCAGAATCATCTTTTGGACGACACTTTGCATCCAATCTGTCAGCAAATTCTGGCTCCCCTTTAAAAGTATATCTAGAATCTCACCAATTTCTCCATTACCATTCTGATCCATTCTGATGGTAAGACTAGAGAGATCTTCAAGAAAATTAGAGATACATTTCATGCAATGATAGGCTCAATAAAGGACAGAAATGGTATGGACCTAACAGAAACAGAAGATATTAAGAAGAGGTTGCAAGAATACACAGAAGAACTATACAAAAAGATCTTCATGACCCAGATAATCACAATGGTGTGATCGCTCACCTAGAGCCAGACATCCTAGAATGCAAAGTCAAGTGGGCCTTAGGAAGCATCACAATGAACAAAGCTAGTGGAGGTGATGGAATTCCAGTTGAGCTATTTCAAATCCTCAAAGATGATGCTGTGAAAGTGCTGCACTCAATATGCCAGCAAATGTGGAAAACTCAGCAGTGGCCACAGGACTGGAAAAGGTCAGTTTTCATTCCAATCCCAAAGAAAGGCAATCCCAAAGAATGCTCAAACTACCGCACAATTGCAGTCATCTCACATGCTAGTAAAGTAATGCTCAAAATTCTCCAAGCCAGGCTTCAGCAATATGTGAACCATGAACATTCAGATGTTCAAGCTGGTTTTAGAAAAGGCAGAGGAAGCAGAGATCAAATTGCCAGCATCCGCTGGATCATTGAAAAAGCAAGAGAGTTCCAGAAAAACATCTATTTCTGCTTTATTGACTATGCCAAAGCCTTTGACTGTGTGGATCACAGCAAAGTGTGGAAAATTCTTCAAGTGATGGGAACACCAGGCCCCCTGACCTGCCTCTTGAGAAACCTGTATGCAGGTCAGGAAGCAACAGTTAGAACTGGACATGGAACAACAGACTGGTTCCAAATAGGAAAAGGAGTACGTCAAGGCTGTATACTGTCACCCTGCTTATTTAACTTATATGCAGAGTACATCACGAGAAACGCTGGTCTGGAAGAAGCACAAGCTGGAATCAAGATTGCCGGGAGAGATATAATTACCCTCAGATATACAGATGATACCACCCTTATGGCAGAAAGTGAAGAACTAAAGAGACTCTTGATGAAAGTGAAAGAGGAGAGTGGAAAAGCTGACTTCAAGTTCAACATTCAGAAAACCAAGATCATGGCATCAGGTCCCATCACTTCATGGCAAATAGATGGGGAAACAGTAGAAACAGTGGCTGACTTTATTTTTTGGGGCTCCAAAATCACTGCAGATGGTGATTGCAGCCATGAAATTAAAAGACACTTACTCCTTGGAAGGAAAGTTATGACCAACCTAGACAGCATATTAAAAAGCGGAGACATTACTTTGCCAACAAAGTTCCATCTAGTCAAGGCTATGGTTTTTCTAGTATGGTGTGGTATGCATGTGAAACTGGACTAGAAAGAAACCTGAGTGATGAAGAATTGATGCTTTTGCACTGTGGTGTTGGACAAGACTCTTGAGAATCCCTTGGACTGCAAGGAGATCCAACCAATCCATCCTGAAGGAGATCAGTCCTGGGTGTTCATTGGAAGGACCGATGTTGAAGCTGAAACTCCAGTACTCTGGCCACCTGATGTGGAGAACTGACTCATTTGAAAAGACCCTGATACTGGGAGAGATTGAAGGCAGGAAGAGAAGGGGACGACAGAGGATGAGATGGTTGGGTGGCATCATCGACTCAATGGACATGAGTTTGGGTAAACTACGGGAGTTGTTGATGGACAGGGAGACCTGGCGTGCTGTGGTTCATGGGTTCGCAAAAAGCTGGACATGACTGAGTGACTCAGCTGAACTGAACTGATTCTTATCCAAGCCTGGGTTATTGCAGGAGCTTCCACCTCGTTCACCCCCAAGGGGTTTACTCTCAAAACATCGGCAAGAGAGATATTTGAAAAATATAAGTGAGATCACGTCACTCCTTGGAACAAAACAAACAAAACAGAAAAACCATTCAGTCAGTGAGATGTCTTCCCACCTCACTAATGGTAAAAATTCTTAAATAAATACCTAAGCCTTTGCCTTGGGCATTGCCACTTAGACACGCTTCCTTAAAACGCGCTTCCTTTATTACCCGCTTGGCTCACTCATGCACTACCTTCAGAACTTGGCTCAAATATTCATTTTTAAAGGAGTCTTTCCTGCTTATCTATAAAATTGCCCCTTCCTACTCCACACTGCCTATCTCACACTTCCTACCCAACTCTTCTGTCTTTCTCTTTTGTCCCCTCCATGACAGCTTTTGATATATGTGACTAGCATGTTGTTTCTCTCTGCTGGAATACATTTTTCACTTGGGCATGGAAGTTTTTCAGTGATGTGCTGTGAGCTCCCACAGGCTGGCAAGGCTCACAAGCGTTGGGTGTGCACACCTCTTCCCCGCTTGAAGTTCAGTGATGTTGGGTTGGTAGGTTGAACTCTGTCATGGCAGGAATATGTACATTATGTACATAAACAATTGGTGCAGATAAGTCCTCTTCCCTCCCCCACCCCCAGCCAGTTGTTGAATTATTAGCAGCACATGGTTGGGATTTTTTCTCTTCTGCACACAGCTGTGTTGTAGTACTAACAATAGTATCTGGCATTTGGTGGGCACTCACCAAATATTTGCATAATGAATGAATGAATGAGTGAATGATACGTGTTTGGTTAATGCAGTCAGTTGCAGCTGTGATAGTGTCCTGGTGGAAAACGAGCAGGCCTGAATTTCTGGTTAGAATA